CATTAAGGTAATATGTAATATGGCTAAGGTATTAATTCTCATGTATTTATCCCCTATAACACAATGGCGGTGAGGATGGTATTTTTGATTCCTCGTCTAAATAAATTATATATGAACCACTTGTACACGGAATGTACATGTTTGATACTCGTTAAACATATTCTAGTCCACCAATTTCAATCATCAACAGATCTCCGTGTTTGATGATAATTAATGTTACCAACATACCTGAAGATTTTAAACCAAAACTTAACCTCTTCTGGTATGACTTGGTTCCATAATAAATATGTGACGATTTCACTTGTAAGCAACTGGATCTCTTTTGATAAACAACTTCTTTCGGGACGCTACCTGAAGACAGCTGCAATATTTGTCTTACGACTTTCAATCCTGGATCCACACCGCCTGCACCTCCAACTCCTCCTTCAGGATTAGCTGTCAATAAATTGTAGCCAATCCCAATAAAGTCTATCCCTGGATTATATCCATGAACAAGGTGGCCGACAAGCACCAATAAAGTTAGTCCAAATAGCTAAAATGGAGAAATCTCAGTACACAGATGATGTCAATATTCCCTAAAATGACTTTCCCTGTAATGGAAGTCCATATTAACTCATGCTAATTTCAACATAATATAGTCGAATCTACTATCATATTAACATTTGTATATATTGTATGAATCACCCTCTACCTGGCATGTGCGTCAAGTTTTATGTAATGCATAAATGAATGAAATGAGTTTTACATCCTACTTTTCGGCAAAAACAGGCCCAATAAAAACGGTGATATCGGGTGGCTAAGTAAACGGGTACACTTTTTATATATTTCATTTATATCATTTTAATAAAACGTTTCACATGTCGTACCATAGTGCAGGTCCTCCGCATAAATGGTGTTAACATTTTGAAAAGGAATGCCAAATCAAGTCTTGCCAGATTGAGAAATCAGATCTGTTTACATAAAAAAAAGATCAATAATTTTTTCCTTTGCAAAACACTTAATAGCTACAGTTTTAATCGTGTTCAAAAGGTTTCCCACAAAGAGGGATAACTCCAAACGGAATGTCGAGGAACACTAAATATCGATAGAGTTTGTCTCTCGTGACCATAATGCTTCCCACCAAATTTTTTAAAAAAAAACTCTTCCAATCACTGTAGCCTCTATCGCATCCCAACGTTTTCGACAAAACGGAAAAGCCCCAGACCTTTGAATATCGATATGGTACACTTTCTCATGATCCAGATGCTTCGCAACAAATTTAAAAACTGTAGCTTGTTCACGGGGTTTTCGCAAAGGGAGGGTAACTCTTCTCATCTTATGACGGCAAGATGTCGTTAATAAATGTAGCTCCCATCTATAAATTTTGTTCACGATTTTTTTTCGACTAAAGGGTCAGTACTGTAGTACGAAAGGTCACAGAATGTTGAATATCGACACTGTTCGCTCATGACCAAGATGCTTCATATCAAATTTGAAAAGAATCCATCGAAAACTGTATATCGACGGACAGGATGAAATTTTCGTGTTTGAAAAAGATGTATGTGTAAGGTTACCATATGGGAGGAATTATATATTTAACAAGTTTATGATGCTTAGCCTGTCATGATTCCAATGCTTCAAACCAAATTTGAAAACAAATAATAAACAAGAACTTATGTATGCCACCATCATCCCTTTGTCCAAATTCAATGACTCACACCATAAAAATGAAAAGAATCCATATATAATTGTAGCATTTAGAGTGAGCACCAATTGGTACATAATGCTATTGAAAATTTGAAAACAAATTACATAAACACTATAAACAAGAAATTTTATATGACACCATCTCTTGTTCCAAATGCAATGTGTCACACCATACAAAAGAATCCATCAATTCTTGTAGCCTTCAGAATGAGCACGAATTAGTACATACTGCTATTGGAATAAATCTCGGAGATAAATTATCGGATATTCATGACCTCAATGCTTCAAATTTAATTTTGAAAACCGTAGCCTCTATTAGCTAATCTATGATTAAAACATTAATAACAGAACTTACATGCATGGTGCCAGACAATCAACTACTCTATAAATAAAACGAACCAGATAATATTATATGACAAAACATCTGTTTATCATTTATAAGTGCACATAATACCGATATATGATAAAACGGTCGCCGTGTAAAACGTACAGATGTTGAACTTTTATCAATAAGAATTAAAATATGCCGGTGACTTCAATTATTGCTTGTAATTATATAGCAGTTACAGAAAGGAAATACCTATTTCATTTTGTTAGAATTTCTTATATCACATGATATACATTTGATGTGGATTGGGGGGGGGGGGCGAATGGTTAGCACGCGCGTGCTGTATCATAAAGCCTGTCATTGAGTCAACTGGCGAGGTTTCGAATCCCCGGTTGTACGTGACAAGGAGTAAGGTCGCCTGTCCAACCTCGTGGGTTTTCTCCGGGTCCTCCGGTTTCCCCTCACTGCTAAAGACCCCTACGCGCAAGCGAATTATTGAAATAAAATTAAACCATATGTTAGTCCCGAAATGACCTAGTTTGTGTTGATTGGACGTTAAACCCCATTTCTCTCTCTCTCTTGGTGTGGATTGACCACTCTGTAGACATTCAGAATACAAACGATTGTAGGGTTGATTTACTTAACAGCCAGACTGGCGTATGACTAAAACATGCAATATAGATAGATGCTGGCAAGTCACTATGACTAAAACATGCAATATGGATACTGACAAGTCACTATGACTAAAACCTGCGATATGGATACTGGCAAGTCACTATGATTAAAGCATGCAATATGGATACTGCCAAGTCACTTTGACTGGAACGTGCAATATGGATACTTTCCTTGACCCTAAAATCAAATCACTTAAAACTACTAGCTGAAGGCTTCATATCATTCGCCATATTTAGTGCTAGCGTTTAACATATACAAACGTAATTCAGTATGGTGGACCAAAATATTCCCCGCCCCTTTTACACTGTTGATATTTTTAGCCATGTGTCAGAAGCTGAGTTATACAACCTGTGTTATATATTATATACTATATGTGGCGTATCAGGCCTGTATATGATAATTGTATTTGGTTACTGCATAAATAGGTATTTATAAAGTTGTATCACTAAAAGTACGTAAAGTGCGAATATTTATGTCTACGGGATATGAACCTATGACACGGGATTAACATGACCGTTTGTGTTTTGAAGCGGGTTCCAGAATGGTATCGTATAGTTTCTGGCAGCCCTAATAAGAAAACTAGCAAGATATCTTGTACGATTTACCTAACTGCTAGAATTAAATGTACAATCACATTATAAATATGCATATTATTATTATTATTATTACACCTGTGATGCATAACGATAGGATTGTCCCTATTGAGTCCTCGATCTGCTACGTGCAGATATGTTCGGTACATTAACACGACTGACCTCTATATATGATACGAACTGATAGCATCAGCACGATTACTCCACGATTAAAATCACGATTCCATTTGCAGCATGAATCGTGATAGTGGGAACCTAGCATGAGTGATTTAGTGGAAAGGCATCGTGATGGAATGGATGACAATAGGCCTACCATGTAATTTAGTTACTGCTCATTTGAATTACATACCTACAAGTAATTTCATAAGATTGGACAGGATGGGGATGTCGAGCAAAAAGGATTAGAAATATATTATGTAAGGGCTAAATCATCCGTTTACAGGTCTTGTTTTTTGCCTGCAATGCTATATAAATTATAAATTACTGTCCGTTCCAGGTGATACTTCGACTCGCAAATTGCTCGCCATTTCTCCAATGTTTAATTTAAACGACTAGACCTTTGTGAAATATACACGTAAATTCACACGATGGAGATGTGGTGTAAAGTGCACGCTTTGAGTAAAAATGCTTAAAGGACAATATTGATGTCAGTCATTATCACATATGTGATTGAACTGGTTAAACAAAAAAGTAATCGCATGTCACTAAATAAGGGAAAACGAGAAAAATAGAAGTAGTCCGTACATTCCCTTACTTTTACTCATTCTATACTTAATAAAAACATGGCAATGCACGGACTATTTCGCTTTCTCTTATCTAGTGACAGTCAAGTATTTTTTTGAATTATCAGATATCCTTCCACAGTGAGCAGTTATATAGAAGGATAACTCGTGTTTTCCTTTTGAGTTCGTCACTTCCCTCTTTTGAAATCTTCAGAACATATATTTCGTAGCAATGATCCCGGTGTTAAACTTATATTTGGAATGTGTTTAAAACAGTTCTATCACATATGTGATAATGACTGACATCAATATTGTCCTTTAAGGATGAATACTGTAAAAGCTAAATCGGTCGTTTGCAGGTCATGTTTGTTTTTGGTTTAAAATGCTGTACAAATCATAAATTATACTTTTATTCACAAGTAAATCCTATAATCAACGCTTTAGATCATTTTGATGAGACAATCAAGGTTATACTGTGAACACTTCAAGGGGCGATAACGTCGTTCAGAAACTTATAGGTTGTTTGACAAAAAATTTGTATCTGATTTTGATAAAACTTAACATGCATCTTTAAAAGCCAAGATCACGGTTCTTTTCGATATTCGCGCATGTCAGATTATAACTTCGTGGTTTATGTTCCCTGATTGTACGTCAAATCACGTTTATTAGCTTGTGGACCCTCTAGAGATCACACAAAATAGTCGATTTTAAAATCCGTTCATAGGTATTACTGTTACTTTGTCTGTAATGATGGTTGAGCTCCAATTTAGTAATAATCGATCCTAAATTGCCTGACAAAATGGACGCTCCTCGTTTGCAACTAGTGTAAAAGTACGTAATAACCAATTAATCCCCGAGATCCGTGGATTGGAATACGGATACGCTTTCGGGTCGATGATGCGAAATATAACCTATTTAGGTAAAAGAAGAATGGTTTAAACAGTTTTATTTTCAAGGTTTAAAAACAATTAGTATTGTCATCGAGAACATCGTTAAACCATTTATCCTATTAATGATGAACCTGATTTAGCATAATAACAAAAATGTAATTTGTGCAGTTTGCTTCCACCATCATCAAAAGGGTGAGCTCCTGTAGCCTTGTCGAGATTGCTGAAAGGGTAATCCGTCCATACTATATATTCTTCCCTCACTTCCATACCCTTTATTCGTTGACATTCCCGGGTATATTTCATCAAGATAAAGGGTTTTTCTGTTGGTAGCAGGATTTCGTGGGTTGGTAAACTATCCTGTCTGAAATTATGAATGATAAAAAATCAGTATATACACAACCTACTCTATCACTATCAGATACAGGCGAGTAAATGATATCGGTTACATCATGGTATGCTGGAGATAGGTGGAAAGGATATGGCGTTTACTGATTAAGCAGTTGGAATAAAGATTATTATTATTAAAGATTATTATAGCATCTCATAGTAAGTTATTTATCAATGGCGTAGTTTAGCTATAACACAGAAATGGTACTATGTTGGTATCGTAATGGTATTGTCAATGGAATATTTTACCTACAACACAGAAATGGTATCGTACTAGTATTTTTAATGGAGGTTATGAGGTTATGATAATTTATCGAAATCTATTGTTTATTAGCAGTTTGTGCTAGAATCGTCCTTTAGAAACTTTTGTAACCATGGAAACTTCTAGAAACCATACACAAATTCACTAAACAGCGCTTAGTAATAATTGGGGGATGGATTCTAGACGGATTTAGTAAAGTTTGGAAAGTTCTAGAATTTCATAAAAACTATTCAAGGCAGACAAAACCAGTTCGAGAGAGAACTTTAGGAGAACTTTCTTTACACTTCGTACAGAACTATAAGTTTCTGTTTGACCCACGTGTCGGTGGTCTCGATTCATTATATCATGGTTTTAAGAGAAATTAGGAGAAGGCATCTATAAAGGACTGTCTACAATTAACTACTTCTAAGTTGAGAGAAAAGGAGACTTCAGCCGAATACTGAGAGAATAATATGAGTAATGTGATGAACGTCATTTTTTAATGCTTTCAATTCGTTTCAAATTATTCGCTAATTATTTTTGTAAAATGCCCATTCCAAATTTTGTATAGTACCAGTAGTGTCAACACGAGAGTTTTCTGGCGCGAGTGAAGCAGGGAAGGAAAGAAAGATGTATATTTGATAATTTAATGAGGAATGAGGTATAAATTGTATCGAAAGTCAAAGTATAGCATTTTATTTATATGTTGGATAAGCTTTCAATATGTGTCAATTAGTAATTTAGTGGAAATATGCATTGTTCCAAGTTTTCTATCTTGGCGTGGTCGGTGGCGGTGTCGACCCTACTTGACCTCCTTTTGCTCTGGTCATTCCTCAGGCTCGTTTAACTGCGGTATATGTTAATTTACATGTAATTACTAATTTATATTGTTATAATTTTGTCAACCTTGTAATTTATTTATTTCCTTTAAATAGATCTATTCATATAAATTATACTGATTTTCACTTAGGCTGTGAAATTCGGTATCCTCTCCCTTGTATAGAAATGTCTGACAGAATGAATGAATGTTTAGATATTGTAAATGTCTCTGACAGGATGAATCCATAAATATTGTTAGCATACTGTGAGTAATATCTTGTACATTGATTCTAATCAAAGTTGTTATATTTGTACTTATACTCATTTTTCCTAATATTATTTTATTATTTGTAATTGTTATATCCAAACTTGTACTTATTTGTTCTAATATTATTTTATTGTTAATATTATTATTGAATTATTATATATTATTAAATCGGTTGTTGTGTATCGGGTGGATTCTGTGACCGACAATCTATAATCAATGATTTTAACAACGACGCATCTGATTAAAATACAGGTCCATATTTCGTTCGATAACCTACACTACATGAAGATCTGACCAGTTGTTTTGTGGCGCCGTGTCAGAGGTCATACGAGTCGCTTTTGACCCTATGACATCAGATATTCGATTAACCAATCAACATTGGTGTTTCTAGTGGATTACCCACAGTTCCGTGCAGCTTACACCAAAAGCACGCCTAGTGTAGTAAAGACAAGTAAAACGAAATGAAATAGGAAATGTGTTGAACCATAACAGAACACACGGATCCTTTTTTGGTATCGCACTGGAATTTGTAATGTAATACGTACCTGCAACAAAAATCTATTCTTGTATCGGCACCGTACTGACCATCTGGTAATGTTCCATACTTTGAATTATGGTTGTTCTTATTTTCATCATCCCATAAGATTGATCCTGATTGGAAGCCTGTGGAGAATGTAAAACATGTAAACATGTATCAGGTTGTGTATGTATGTAGTGATGTAGTGATCAGACTATCACTACAACTGGATTTAGAGGATTCATATACTACTAACAGGGCCATGACATGGCATTCTATAACATCTTGATCAGACTATCACAACAACTGAATTTATAGGATTCATATACTACTAACAGGACCATGACATTGCATTCTATAACATCTCGTATTCTGTCGCTCTTTACACATTCTTAATGAACTAGTAACAAAATTAAAATTACACAGGAGAAAATGTAAATTGACAAGCGATGTGTGCAGATAAAAAGTAGTTGTGGTCCGAATTGGTCGAATTGAACTATAATAATGATGTTAAGTCTGTTCCATTATTTAAGTCCCTTTTAATATTATTTTGTCAACCCATGTTTTAACCGATTCTACACCCCAACAACGTCCATGTAATAATTATTTAATTTACCTTTAGGACAGTCACCATATTTCAGAATACAATAATCTCCAGCTGGCCAATCACCATCATATTCAGTGATTTTTTCGTCTCCCTTCATACAGAAATCCAGGGTGATATCCTGGCCTTTGGAACCTGAAAATGTCACAAACAACAAACCGTTATTTATCATGAACCTATGACACTGCAGTTTAGGTTTGTCAGACCAATGTCGATCTTATGATGCGGTTGTAGAACAGGGATGTCAGACAAACACAGTACGTAAAGCTAGAGTTATGATAGCATTGTAGTTTAGATGTGTGTGTTCCACCTCATATATGGCTGTTGTAGTATAGGTGTGTAGTTGTAGTACATGTTAATTTGTAGTGGTAGCATAGTTGTAGTATAGGTGTGCAGTTGTAGTATATAGGTAGTATAGGTGTGTAGGTGTAGTATAGGTGTGTAGGTGTACTATAGGTGTGTAGTTGTAGTACAGATAGTTTTAGAGCAGGTGTATCAGGTCAATATCCATCCTATGCTATTGTTGAGGTTTCGACAAAAAAACGCAATGTAACGTTCACTCTTTGACATTCTTTGGGTTTTTTTTTTAAAAAAACGGGCACGGATTCTTCATAACGTTTAAAGTATACTAACGGACAGAGATCACGTATACCGTTTAAGATATGAATATTAAGATCTCATGTGTGAAGTTGATGAAAATTACCTGCTATATGGTTAGGATTAGACCACTCGTTATGATTTTTGAGTTCAATTTGTGGAGGCATATGTCTATGACGGTTGTAGTCGTCTTGATGTCTCGATCCTAAATGCCAAGTAACTCTTCCAGCGGGGCATCCAGAAACTGCTTTTATAAGACCATATGTTCCAGATGGCCATGTGAGAGGAATCCGTAGCTGGGGATCTAAGAAAAGAAAAGACCTAAACTTAGAAGTAGTTTTTCTAAGATCATGTTCCCGATGAGTGGAATCCGTATAAGAGGTTTAACAAGAGATAACAAAATAAGATAACCAATAAAGAGAAAAGTTTTGATTCGGGAAAATACAAACTCAGTAGTCGTATACTACTGTGATGTCTTCTGAATTAATTCAGTTTGAACTTGGTTTTAATTTATATATGCACGTTACATTTAGGTAGGATCTGACAAGTTTAAAGTTTAAAGGCTGACCTGTGGGTGATTTAAATAGCTTGAATTTAGCATAACCAGTTAAGGCCTTTACTAGATTAGATTGTTTGGTATGCAAATACGTTAATGGATGGCCTCCACATGCCTTCGAGACGTCAGTGCCACCCCAATAGTTAGTATTAAGAGCTTCTGCGATAGTCTTGACGGTGAGACCAATTGGTTCTGGTTGACTCGTACTACCAGATGTAAGAGTTGACTGATAGGTTCCAAATCGCAGTTTATATGCGCTACTCGCTTTAAAAGTTCTGAAATCTACACTAAGAAACCCGCCAACTGACAATCCAAACCCTCCCTAAAATGAATAATCACAAATATAAAAGACTGTATACATAGGTCAAGCATCACGATGAATGCAACTGTCACCAAAATAGCTTTCACATTCCAGCTTAATAAGGTGAGGTACTAAATGAAAATCATACTCCTCACAGTGTTTCGTTTGATTAGACCTAATCCCACTGCATAACAATATCTTTCGTTTACATAAGGTTAGTGCATAGCATAAGATTGTAGGAAAGCTAATTGCATGACAAACAAGACTATCAAAACGGCTACAATGTAAACTACTGCTTGGAGATGAACAATAATTTCACCATTTTGTAATACCTTAAACTGTCCAGCAATGGCCAGAGAGGGATTTCTCTGGCAATTGCTTCAGATTAAGAACGAAAGGAGACCACTCTAAATTGCAACTCTAAATTGCAAACATTACTAAAGATTAATAGTAATCCCTTCATTTACTTTAATGTGAAATCCATCACATTTCTTAGCATGTTGCATTTTATTATGCTGCCACATTTCAGTGTGATCTGTTAAGTTAAGAATTGTTTTGTAAACGCGACAGAGGCTACCAAAAATCGAAGGATTTGGTGTGAAGCTTTTTGGTCATGAGAGGACAAAGCCAATCGATGATCAGCGTTCTGCGAGCTGCTGTACTAAAATTATGCTCCAGTTTCCGAAAACCGTATGAACGTGATAGACTCTTAAGGTCTGTAGCGGGTCCCGTTCATTTTTGATGTGAAGCACTACTGTCATAAACCCTGTGGATATTCAACGTTCCACGACTTTCATTTTTAGCGATTTCCCTCTTTGATGAAATCGTTATCATCGTGATTGATGCTCGAGTGGTTGACGGATCCTTTTGGAATTTGCTGTGAAGCATTGTTGGTATAATCGAGAGGATATTCAGCATACCACGACTTTCTGATTATTTTTCAAAATTTGTTTGAAGGACTGGGGTCTTGAGTGAACCCTCCGTGCTGATATTCTGCTGATTTCTGTTCGGTTTCAATGAATTCTATTGAAATTTTTGTGTGGGGCACTGTGGTCGAACCCTGTTGATATTTACTAGAGGTGTATTGCCCCCTTTGTCTAAAACAGGGGCAAAACCTTGCAAGAGAAGGTAACGGATTGCACAATAATTATAGGTTTCGTCATCTAGTGGCCACAGTGTTTCACGTAAAATTTTAAAAGAATCCCGCTTTTAGTACTAAAAACTAACGTAAATGTGGGTTGACTTACACTTTTCTGTACGTGATTTATAAATTCTGTCATAGAAGATTCATATCTTTTGATTACTTTTGTACCAAAATCAACTTGCATTACCACGTGCTGTAAGATAAATGCAATGGTATTCTATGTATGCATTCTGTCCATATCAATAATTAAAAATATAAGTTTATGGTATAAGTAAATTCATATGAATAAATACAATCATAAGTTGATGATATACTATAAGTTTCTGATAATTAGTATATTCATATAATAACTTTAAACCAGGCAACAATACGCCACCCCAATCTCTCACTAATCACAAGATAAATATATATCAGTAAATTCAGTTATAAGTTTATGATATTAGTATATTCATATAATAACTTTAAACAAGACAACAGTATGCCACCCCCATCTCTCGCTAATCACAAAATAAATACTTGGTTTTCTGAGAGGTGGTAGACAATGGAACTTGTATCAATAATGTACGTGTATAATTGCACGTAAAATACTATTTTGTTGTTTGCATCAAGCCATATTGCTGATAATAAAATAACAAACCGTTCCCCAATCGTCCAGGAACTTCATATAGCTGGCAGTGTTATATGTTGCAGGAAGGGAACAAAGAGCGGCTGCAAAGTTAGTGGTAACATGAAGGGTGTGATGTGAGGCGAGTTCCTCGGTGAATCTGGCAGTTCCCAAGTTACAAATAGTTTCATCATCAAAGATGACGTTTCCACCTTTATTGGTTTCACTGTATGCCCGTTGATATCCTGTAATATTGAGTTAAGAACACAAAAGCCATGTTTGGTTAAAATTCAGTAAGCTATTAAAATTATAATACGATGAAGCAATATTGTCAATAATAATAATGATAATAATATCATGATTACTAAAAATTTACTTCCGTACATACAATTAGTTTAAAACAATGGGATTTCAATTCTAACTTGAATGTTTCTATTCATTTGGATTGTCTAATGTTAATTTGTAATTGATTCAAGAGATATGGTGCTATACACGCAATGTTTCCCGAGTTCGGGTTGTAATGGTGGTGTGGTAAACAATCTTTTGAAGAAGAACGTAGTCCTCTGCCAGATTTACTGTGTTTAAGCAATTCTTTTCTATCGTTCGGCATTTTGTCATTTTTATGATGGTCATCTTTGTTATAGGAAGCCAATGGCGGTGTGGAAAAAATGTCTTTTAGAGAAGAATGTAGCCCCTGTCGGATTCATTTTGTCCTTTGTATGCACGGAGTAAGATTTTGAAGATGATCCACTGTTTTATAGCAAGCCAATGTACTTTTGAAAGTACAGGTGTTATATGCCAACGTTTATAGGTTTTACTTAATCAATTTGTGATTAATGTATAGTAGCAGTGATCTGTACCTTGATCAATTTATGATTAATATATAAAAACTACCCGCTAATTCGAACGGACACTGAACAATCTTAAATATTTTATAGGACAACAATGAGAGCAGTATACTAACTTACCTGCACTTAAACTGAAAGCTGCTGTGGCAACTCCTGTATTACCTTGTCCTACATAGGGCATTAAACATAATATTAATATAAAGTTCACATACTGAGGCTAAGAATTAAGTAAATTATCATGTCTTTATTCCATACAACTATATATTATTTTCTTTGAGCGGCATTCAGCAATTGACAAGTGTAGTAAACACAAAAACATAATATGCAACACAATTACTATTTTAATTAATGTGACGTTTTAATTAATGTACAGTTAGTGTTTCGTATCATATTTAAAGTACAACTGCTGTGTAGAGATATTAGAATTCCCATTTCTATTTCGTATCACAAAATATCAGTTTATATATAGGCCACCTAGTGTTAAAGGAGAACTACTCCTATCATCTAGAAGCCACGGTGGCTAAGTGAGTTAGACGCTGGCTCGCAAGCCTGGAGGTCGCGTGTTCGATACCTGAATTGGCAGCAATGAGGAAGTACTCTTTACAACTGTTACAAGCAGCATTAACATGTATAAATATAAAGAACGTGACAAAGTAAAGCACATGGTCTTATAATTGCCAGGAAACCGTGTCAAAAGAAGAGACACATCCATGACGTGACTTATATTATATTCATGGTCTCTTCTTTTGATGTAAAATATCTGTATACATTGTAGGTGATGTCCGCGGGTTTGTCTTGTGAGTTTGTTATCTGTGTTGGTGTCACCCTGTACTTACTTTCAAACAGAACAATCGGGTTATACTGTTCCTATCGCAGAAACATAATTAAGGAATTGTTTACTGACTGTGAAGACATCAGAGAACATGAATATAAATAGTGAATACAATATACCAAACACATCTCAAAGAGAAAATTAACCAAGTTAGTATGTTGTTTTAAGAAAACAATGACCAACTGATCATCTTGTAGGATAATTACCACCATACCTGAAGCAGTTACACCAACACCAAGCCTCGACTGGTAAGACTTGGTTCCATAATAAACATGTGTTGATTTCTGCTGTAAGCAGCTATGTCTCGCCTTATAAGCCACTTCCTTTGGTACGGCCCCTGAAGACAGCTGTAATATTTTTCTTACGCCTTTCAGTCCTGGGTCGACGCCACCAGCAGCTCCAACTCCTCCTTCTGGATTAGCTTTCAGTAAATTGTACCCAATTCCAACAAAGTTTATCCCTGGACTATATCCATGAACAAGATGGCCGACGAGCACCACTATTGTTAGTCCCAACACCTAAAATGGAGAAATTCCAGTACATAGAGAGTTACCAATGGATTCAGTGCCTAGTACTTCTCGCGATTATTATATAAAATAATAGAAACATTGTTTAGCAATAAGCCAACATAACAATATCTGTATGTTTTATAATAATCGTTATCTATCTAGCAGGTGCGTCAAGTTTTACATATATAATACTTCTCTATACTAATTAATACAAATGATGCAAGGGTGCGTAGTTTAATTACAAGTTGCGTGGTTTTAATGCCAGTTACAAGGTGCATGACATGGTTTTACCTGGAGAGAGGGAGAGAGGGGGACCAATTAATAAATATGATAAAAGTGTGCATGGTTTAAATCACAAGGTGCGTGGTTTTAATTACAATGTGCGTTGTTTCAACGTCAATTACAAGGTGCGTGGTTTTAATTACAAGGTGCGTTGTTTCAACGTCAATTACAAGGTGCGTGGTTTTAATTACAAGGTGCGTTGTTTCAACGTCAATTACAAGGTGCGTGGTTTTAATTACAAGGTGCGTTGTTTTAACGTCAATTACAAGGCGCGTGGTTTTAATATACATTACATCAGTTACAAGATGCGTAGTTTTAATGTCTGTTACAAGGTGTGTGGTTTTAATTGGAGACCTTAACTAAAGAGATAGGGACAGAGAGAGGTTTAACGTCCACTCGACACGAACCAGGTCATATCGGGACTAAAGTAGTTTCAATTTTATTTCAATATTTCACGGTGGGAGGAAACCGGGGACCCGGAGAAAACCCACTGGGTTGGTCACGTACCAGCGGGGATTCGAAATCACGCCACTTGACTCAATGACAGACCTTCTGACCAAACGTGCACGCGTTAACCATTCGGCCACCCACCCCCTTGACTAACGACAATAACATTATTAACAAAACTTACATGCATGGTGCCAGACAATCAACTACTCTATAAATAAAACGGACAAGATAAAATGACAGTAATTTATAGAATTTGTATAAGTACATCTACATATGCTTATCAGTGATTGTGTCACATAGATCGGCACGATTCTATGATTGTAAGTCCTTAGGTTATCGACTAGGTTAATGAAGACGGGCGTACGCCATACGTTGTTCTATAAAGGATCACACTGGAACTTGTTGATTTTTTTTGGTCAACATCATTCCTCTCGAAAGAGGGTCTTAAGTGTTATGAAGCTTGTTTGTACGGTCATAAATGAAATGATCGAAGCCTTAAAATCATGATATTGGTAGTAACATTGTGACTGGGGAAGATCTAGAGCAGCTTGGGCACCGCTTGATCACCCCCCTTTATTTGGTGTTCCAGCTGTTATTGTTAATTGTCCGAAAGGATGACAGAGAATCAGTACAGATGACGTGCTGTAGTGTGTTGATGATTAATGGCTGGAAGCAACAGGTGCCAGACAAGCATAATTATCTTAGATGGCGTGTCAGTAGCCGAGGAATCCCGATAACCATGTTTCTGAACATATGTATAAATAGGAGCACAATCACGATACTTAGACCCTAACTCTCGGAAATGATATTGAATCGCCGTCGATCTAGAATCCTTCTTTTTTTGTTGTGCAGATATAGCCCACGGCGGTGGACTAAAGAAAGGAGTATTCGCAATACCCAGAATGCCATCCTCAGACAAAAGTGGTTGCATGCGAATACCAACAGATGGAACTACTTTATTTCCCATGATTAGGAAGCGATGCATTTGTCGAAGCATACTACAGTACCAGCTTATCAGGTAGGTCTTTCAACGAGGGCTTATATGCCTTGACCATAAACTGTCCAGTGTAGATGTACGAAATGTTCCTAAGCTGATTGTAAGTCCTTGGTTGAGTATGGTGTCAAGCTCTTTGATATACGATCTTGATAAGTGATAATGTTTTGGATTTCGAAGGACAAAATCCATGTTTGGTTGCCCATTGTTGAAGTGAATTCAAACAAAACTGCGACTTACGTTGGATTATCTGGATGTCTCTAGAACCACCTTTTTGGTATTTGGGGTGATAAACTAAATATTAATCACCAAACAATTTCCAAATTCATTTACTAACCAAGTACAAAACTTTGCACAAAAGCACGACAAAAAAGGGTGATGATGACAATAAAAGTCGAATTTTCATGGATTTCCGTCAAATTTGGCATGAAAAATGCCAAATGCAAGTTCAAGAAACCTACGGGTCACCTTTGGCTATAGACCGTGATTTTGTCTGTTATCCTTGAAACCCCACAAAAATAAACGATGAAATAAATGAAATGAAATGAAATGGGGTTTAACGTCCTACTGTTCTGCTCCTAACCTGGGCTAATGAAGACGGGCATACGCCATACAGTGTGCTATGAGGGAAATTTTGCCTCCTGTATCGAATTCCAACTGCTAAGGGATCTTTTACGTGCATTCCAATGTATACACGGGACCTCGGTTTTTCGTCTCATCCGAAGGACTAGACAGCTGTCCTTGTCAGGCCCTCCTTCCTGCATCACTGACAAGGGGAAACCACGCAGGAAAATCTGGATGAACTTTCTCGGCCAATGCAGGGATCGAACACCCGCAAAAATGCTAAAAAGATATATCCAAAATACTAAGATGGAAAGTAGGGGTTAAAAGCGACATGTCGACACCAAAAACGTTAAAATTTCTGCTCAAAGTATTTTAAAATCTGTGTTTTTTAATTATTTACCCTCAAACGAGATTTTGTGATTTATTCAACAACCCTCTCGTTTGCTATAATCTTTTTTCTTTCCGCTTGTATTCCGATTATTACGACAAACGATCGGACTGTGATATGTCATTTTACAGATGAAAAAAGTATGCATATTCTTAATAAGATTGGTGCTGAAAAGTTAGTGAATATCTTAAACTACGGAAAGAGCTTTAACCATTGAGCCACCCCCTCCCAAAGAGTAGAGTGATCCGTGTTTTTACGTTGACCGCAGTGACGCCGTTTCTGTCGATTCGATCTTACTCCCATCCCACGCCACTCTACTTTCTTTCGTTTCAAGGTCTGTGTGTATAAAGCCAAACCAACCACAATATTCTCAGCTTACCTTGATGTCAGTCAATGTGCTGACTAAAATGTGTTTAAAAGGGAATAGGAACAGATTTTGCACATTTGCATATTTGATTAGATTAGACAAATGCATGCCGTGGTAGCTTTGGTTTAGAAAAGTCTTTGCGCCTTAGTGTAAACAAATTGACCAGATTAGAAAATGCATGCCACAGTCCTTCGTCTAGTAATTAAATCTATGGAAGCCGATACGAACACTTTCACAACATTATGTAATTGTCTGCTTCACGGTCTACCTGACTACATCATCCAGCGGTTATAGAATGCACCAGCCAGGCACCAAGAACTTCGAACACATCACACGGCCGCCTCCTGTATGTGCCACCATCCGGATCCCTTACCTTTAGAGACCGGTCTTTCATGGTCGCTGGTCTTACTGGTCCCTGGAGCTTAGAGCTTTGGGCAAAATTGATATCTTCAAATCGAGACTGAAGACACACTTTTTCCGAGAAGCCTACTGTGAAAAAGACTCCTGTCTGACTAATGTTTGGTCCTTATGTAATTGATGAATTGTCCCATGAGCGGTTGATCGACGTAGATCTAAAGAAGCAACTACAGAATTACTGGGAGTGTTACGAATGTCAACAAGAATGGAAAAATCAATGTCTAGATGAAATAGAAGAATTTATATAGAAAAAAGTTTTTGACTTCAATTTATAGTCGGTAATATCTGGACAATGTGAATTAACACGATCTATAGCTGGACCATCCCTGCCTCTAGTTTCAAAGCCTGGCTATCTCTATGCCGCAAAGTCAGACTGGG